TAATGAATTCGTTCAACACCGATGATGACACAGAAAAAGTAGTTCGAAAATATCGAGGGTTTAAGGTTCGAATTTACACTTTTCTACAAAGTCGATTCCCTCGGTTGAACAAAGAGACACTTTTACCTGTGGCCACGACCATTGACGGAGACAATGAAGACTGGTACCCACCAGGTCATGGGGATTTCTATCAATCGTTCGCGAAATCTGGACTCTTATCGAATTTTCTTTCACAAGGTAATTAATCAATTGTAACTCTCAGTGGTTAACTTTTTGTGTTTCTACAGGTAAGGAATATGTTTTCGTATCAAACATTGATAATCTTGGAGCGACGGTGGACATTAATATATTGAAGTATTTACTGGACACTCCGAATGAACATCGACCTGGTTTCGTTATGGAAGTGACTGAGAAAAGTGCCGCCGATGTTAAAGGAGGAACACTAATTAAGTACGATGGTAAATTACGACTTCTTGAAATTGCTCAGGTTCCAAAAGCTCATGTTGATGAGTTTAAATCGGTGAAAAAGTTTAAAATTTTCAACACCAACAATTTGTGGATGTGTTTAAGGTCAATCGATAAGTTAATTACGACCCACGGAATCCATATGGAGATCATTGCCAATCCGAAACATTTGGACAATGGTCTGAATGTTATTCAATTGGAAACTGCAGCGGGTGCGGCGATGAAAAACTTTCAAAATGCTATTGGACTTAAGGTACCAAGAAGCCGATTCCTTCCGGTCAAGAAGACACAAGATCTGCTCTTGGTCATGTCCAACTTGTATTCCCTTGAACAAGGTTCATTGGTACTAAATCCCGCTCGATCCATCCCCTTGGCTCCACTCGTTAAATTGGGCGACGATCAGTTTGCTAAAGTTCGTGATTTTCTTACCCGATTCAAATCAATTCCCGATATACTTGAACTTAATCATCTAACTGTTTCCGGTGATGTCACTTTCGGCTCAAATGTGACCTTAAAAGGAACCGTTATTATAATTGCCAATCATGGGGATAGAATCGACATTCCCTCAGGCTCTGTTCTGGAAAATAAAATTATCTCTGGCAATTTAAGGATTTTAGATCATTGATTTGATTTAGATCTTAATTGTTAACCATAAAAGTTACTTTAATTTCCAATCAGAATTTTATTGAAATCAAGTCTTTTAATAAATCAAAACAAGATTAAAGGTTAAATTGTTTTTCATCTGATTAATGTTGAGGACAAGGTTGTGATTTGTTTACTATTGTGTTGATTTTTAATGAGTTATAATCATTTCAGATCAATGAATTTGATTAAATTATCATGATTATCAAGGTTAGCCTGAAATCTGGCTTGTTGATTGATGACATTGGTTTTGATTGTCCTAGAAATTCAAAGGATAAGGTTAAATCTGTAGATTACCACCAACAACATGGTTCTCATGACAATTAAGTGTATTAATTATAAAAACAAATTATTCTGATTTTTCAGTTGTCGATTTCACGATTACATGTGATGACAGAATATTTTTTTCACATTCAATTAATTTGGTAATTTGTTGACCACAAAGAGATAAGTTTTTTCTTTGTCCAGAGTTGGATAACTTTTAAGTAGTAATTGGCATCTGATTGCGATAAAATTAATGGCTTTAGTGGTCAGATCTTCAGGTAGATCGTTAAAAGATTTGGTTGGACAAGTGTCACTTTCGAGGAGCTTTTTATCCAGAACTGTTTTGTCCATGAGAAAAATTTTTACGTAATTAAGTAGATCTTCATCCAATCCAACGGATTTATGGTGCAAAGCGAAATAGCCTGAGGTTTGTAGGCCCATTTTAGAGCAAAGTCTCGAGCGAAGCTCGTACAGAGGGTCAACTTGACTTAATCCTAATCGAATGGACAGAAAATCGTATCGATTGTCAACTGGAATAAAACCATTGTTGATGAGAAATTCAGCATTCGTCCGTTTACCATAGAAAATGTTAATCTCTTCGTTAACGGCAAAGCTTTTCATTGAATAACAAAGTAATTTAGATTCGCTTGGATCATAATCAGTTGAAAATTTTCCATCACTATGATTACATAAATCCCACATTGGGATGAGTGCTGTTAAATTTGAAGGATTAAATCGGGAATCGGGTGCGGTAACTGACGGAGGTAACACTGGAATCTGATTTTGACGGGTCATCACAGTGGCCGTTGCCCAACGGTAAAGGTCAAGACAGAAAAGTCCTCGTAGTGAATCAATTTTACTGAAAGCTGAATTCTTGGTGGTAATTTTTTTCCAAAAATAGGCATACTGTCGATATATATTGCGAATAAGTTTAACGGCATCAACCAAAGCGGGTGAACCTTTCAATAAAATTATATCGTCTTTGGTATAATAAAGTGGGGTCAAGTATATCGATGGACAGAATAAGATATAAGGTTTCCAGAATGAGTCTTTGCGACAATATTCAACCATCAGGTGAAAAGATAACAATACATTTGGCATCGATTTGAGTAGAGAATCTTCTGAGGCCACAGTTGCAAGACAAGGGTCAATTAAAGCGCTTTCAGTGGTCATCATGATTTTCTTGGGAATTGAAAGAGTCAATTCATCTTCAGGAATTGGCTTTTTAGCAATTAATCCATATTCGTTTGTTGTTTTATCCACACAAGTTATGTCAATATCTTCATGAGAACAGTCATTGGATGAGAGCCAAGAGATGAAGTCTTTTAAATGATCATCTCTCCGGTGGGGCACAAATAAACCTAATAAGGTAACCGTTTAGGTTAACCGTTAAAGAGGAAAAGGAAATCAAAATTATTATCACGATCAATTGATGTTATGACTTTTGTTAAATTACGATTACAAACCCGATTCAATTTGTTGGATGTTTGTTGCAATCAAATTTAATTCGTTAAATTCTGTAATCAAGGCATCATGAATTGTTTCATTCCTTGTCGAGAATAGGAGACATTTTTCCATGAGTTCGTTGATTAAACCATTTCTTTGATTAATTGTTTTCTTTGACATCTTCATGATTGGTTAAACTTTGACAAGATTATCAATGGTAAAAGTATCAAGAGTCTAGTTTAAGGTGAGACGAAAATCCAACAGGTAACAAGTTTTATCACATCAAATCAACGATCCAAATTAAGAACAATTATCTGTATATTAAATCAACTGAATAATCACTGATCCATCAACGGGAAAATAACCTCGGGGTGTGTTTAGATTATGTTAACAAAGAGAATTGAAAAAAAACAAAAACAGAAAAAAAAAGAAAATGCTTTCAACGGTTAAGGTTTGACTGGAGAAATTTGTACTACGTTTGTCTTTAAATTGTTCCAATTAGATTCACCGAATACTATCAGACACTTAGATTGTTATGGTGACAGAAAATAATCAAATAATCACAGTTAATTGTGTTAATTTTTTAGATTTAAATAAAAAGAGTTAACAATTGAAATGATTAAAGTAAGATGGCAATTTGAGGTAACATGAAAATGGACCAAATTTGATGGAACTACATAAACAATCAATCAAACAAATGTCCTTGGTAATGGGTTAACACTGTAGACAATTAAGGAAACAATTATGGGAAAAAAATCAATGTATCAATCGTAATTAAATCAAGATAATTGTGATTAATTTTTCAACTCAACATCAAATTAACATGGAAATTTTTCGCTCGAAGCGACGCCTTTCGGTTCTATTTAAAAACAAAATTCTAATTTTTCAGCTTCAAGATTAATTAATTATCCTTGATTAATTAAGATTTTCTATCACAATGGACTTAAGTGCAACTTTTTCTCGTACATCCAGCGATCGAGACCATTAGTTATCTCCTTAATCAGTTGACCAAAATGTGAAAAGTGTAATCAAACTTTCAGATTTAAACTTTTGAATTTAATGTATGAAGATTGACCGGTTGGCGATAATTAAAGTAAACAATTAATTTTTTTGTTCCAATAGATTAATTAGTCTCTTAATTGAGTTCTCACTTCTAAGCCTTTAACGATACATATATTTCAATTGTTCTTTTGTATTAATTAGATCCAATTAGTTGGATGTATGGTTGTTACCTTGGTGGTGAATTATTGGTTTTTAAATTGTTTCAATTCAATGTGAATTAATATCAGGAAAAAATATTATCGAAGTTGATTTAATAATCTATTTTTTTTATTGTTTTGTGAAGTTGAAGTTATGAAAATTGTAACTTTTTCTTAATTCCATTTTGATCCTCACTTGGAAATTATTAGAACTTTTTTCCCTCCTAATGTCTCATGAGAGATAATCAATATGAAAGTGATGAGGATCATTAGACTGTGGTGAAAATGCCCTGAAGACATAATACCGAACAATCTGACTCATGTCAATTAATTTTTTGTTCACTTTGTAAATAAAAAGATCTTCGATTGATCTTATTGACATTCATATTCATTAATCGATGACAATAAGCAGATTCGATGAAAACTTCTAATTACTATAACCTGATGGATAAGGTTAACTTTTCAGCCACAAATACGAAACTAATTTGGTCTAATTACTGGTGATTGTGGAATATCCCCAAAAATCAAACTAATTACAAGTTGTTACTCTTTCAACTGTAACTTCAATATTTTCATTCAAGAAACAGACAAGATGAGAATCAATAAAAACAGGATAACAATTGAAAGTGAAAATCTGATCAATAATAATAGACTTTACTAATTGGCAACCAATCCAATCTCCCTGATTTATTGATTAACTAATTGTAAGTCCAATTCGTAGACATTTTCATCTTTTCCATCAATAGTAATAGATGGCTCTCTATGGAGTATCATCTTCATCATCTTCCTTTCATCATCCTCATCTTTTTTGAATTATAAAAAGAGAGATGAACAAATTGGATCCGAATCTTTATAAATCGAAATTTACTTTTCAAATAATCTAATCTCGACAATTCAATTGAAACAAAGTAAATTGCCCTTTGAAAAAGTAAGAATTAAATTAGTCCAACAATTTGGATCCGGTTTGCGGAAAAGTGAATATCGATCGGAGTGGATCGGAAAGAAAAGATATTCTTTCAATTTTTCTCTTTCTTTTCTCTTTCTTTTATCCAAAGTTTAGATTCTAAGTACAAAGTATCCGATAAATGAGTTACTCTCAACCGATGTTTTCATTTTCATTTTCACTTGAGATCTTCAACCGATTAGTTAAACATGAATTCTAATTTTTGTTAACAATTAATCTAATCAATTTAATTTAATGTTCCACTTGTTCCCAGTGAGAATCATGTAATTTACTTAAAAGGGTTATAAATATATACAAATATTTATTTTTTTTCTTCTCTAATTAAAGGACACATTTAATAGAGAAAAAAATCTTTTCTTTTTTTTCTGTGATTTTGTTTCTTTATTTTCTATTCTATTCTATTCTTTTTTTTCTCTCTCTCTCACTTATTTTGTGCTTCTACGGTGATTTTATCTTATCTCACCTTTGCTTCCATTTAAAACACAAAATATACATCACAATTAGAGTCAACAATTAATTCTCTCACAATGGATATTGATCATCATCAACAATCTTCATCTTTCTCGCCCATTGTATATATTGCAACTTCTTTTGGTGCCAATGTAGTTGCTGTTAAGATCCTCTTTTCACTTTTATCTGGTAAGTTTTTCTTTTCTCATTTAAACATCTAATTTGTTACCTTCCTTTTGTCAATTTATTGATTTTCAATGTTAGTCAGACGTAATCGAAAAAACCTCTAATCCTCTTCAATATCTAATCTCTTGTTTATCCTTTTCTGATGATGTTTCTCATTTTCATATGTATAAACATCATCATCATTCTCGCAACACATGCACAAAATCAGACATCTTTTTTTGGGTTTTCTATCTCTCCCGATAATCTTATCACCAGAACAACAATTTATATTAATAGAATAGAACAAAAAAAACAGACTGGTAATCCATTTACCAAGATTTGCTTTTTCTACCAAATATAATAAACTAATCTTTCTCCTCTTCTTCTCTCTTGAATACTCGCCATCTTTAGGTTATCCACTGGCCATTATTTATAATTGTTTAATCGTCAATCGAAGTGAAGTGATAAAAAAATTGTTCTTCTCAGGAACTGGTCTGGCCTTGGGACTTTTCAATTATGGTCAGTTTACTATCCACTTAGTTGTTAATATTGACTGAACAAGACGATCATTAATATCTGGCAACTTTTAAATTGTAGCAAATGATTAGTATTCAATACATTTTGTCTTCTCCCTTTTGTTTTCCCATTTCTTACAGATCATCTCTTGTTAATCACAATCAAGACTCTCTTAACAATAGACTAATTTCATTGTGTTACCTTTTTTTCTGACAGAAAAAAGAACAGGTAACTAAGAATAGAATTTATAAATTGTTAGTTACCAATCAGGGAACAACTTACATGTAAACATTATCAAGAGTTAATTGTTGAAATTATGCTCACGCAGGTTAAATTCTGGTTTAGATCAGCAATTAACAAAAACCAATTATCGATCATTTTCTGTACTTCAACTAATCAAATCTATCTAAGGTTAACCTTGTTAATTACTAATATGTAATGATAACTATTCATGATTACGACTCATTGATTTTTCATCTCCCTTGTTATTTACATGAACATTTTTTTTTTGTTACAATTAATTGACTAATTTTTGATTAACTAATTTCAATTTATCTTATTCTTGTTTCCTTTTCTCTAGGGTTATTTATTAGCTGGTTATTTTATTACACAAATCAAATCAAATGAATATAGCTTCGAATGGACTATTCCACAGTGTGTTTTAACCCTCCTGCAATTCAATATGATTCTTTGATTAGAATTGAAAATGATTAATAAGTAATATTAAACATCTTGGTAAAGAGATCCACTGTTTCATATGGTTAAAGTTTATGTAAGTTTTATGCAACTTTATCATTTGTTTGAATACGAAATGAATTCAATTAGTATTAATTGTAAAGGACAAATTAATCTGGAAAAAGGATACAAAGTTTCAAAGGTGCTGAAGATTAATGAATTAATTGATTAGGTAAGACAAAGGAAACAAAGTTAATCATATTAATTAGATGATGATTAATAACAAAATAGTGAAATTGGAACTCCCTGTATCGTTAAGTAACAATTATATACGTTTTAATTACACAAACGAAACTTGCGTACCATTTGATATTCTCACCATATTAATTATTATCTCACCAAGATAATTAACCAATGATGATAAACTTTTTTTGTCCTTAATACACTGAGCACTCAACTAATTAGTGTCCTTTTTATATTTATAGTGATAGTTATTTACTTAAACTTATTGCTATTGCTCGTAATTAGTGAACTCACCTTAATCCATGGTATCAGTGTTTATATTCAATCGTTGAACATTCAACTAGATCACTAGATCAGTTTAGTTTGATCGCGGATTTTACAAGAAATATTTTATAGCTTCATCCATTTATTATATCAATTGACTTTTTAATTTCTAATTGTTACACAGCAACAGAAACTGCGGAAAGTCAAACTGTTCCATTGACAGTCTTGGGTTCATCAAGGTTACTTTAATCATTTTGATTAAGTTCGTTCTTTGTTGAACTTTTCTTCTTTGGATCTTTTCATTTGGAATCAACCATTTTCATGATGGTTCCTGACACAGCCTCATTGCGTTCGTACGTGCCCTCTTCTAGACCCGACAAACCAATTTCGTGCCTTGTATGTTCAGACAAATCTTTTGGAAATAATTTTGGTGCCATAACCTGTGAATCTTGTAAGGCCTTTTTCAGGAGAACGGCAAATGAACGTGATGTAAGTACCTTTGTAATGCACTTTTAGTCTTCGGTACTCTTTTAATCCTTTAACTGTTTCCCTACTAGAAGCTGGCTTGTCCATTCAACGATAACTGTGAAATTACAATCGCAACTCGCAAACATTGTCGCAAATGTAGACTAGAGAAATGTTTTGCTGTTGGAATGATAAAAGAATGGATTCAATCTGAAGAGCAGTTGAAAATTCGACGAGCGATTTTAAAAGAACGTAAACTTCGGCGAGAAATGGGTACAAGTGGACAATCGACTAAAAGGTTCAAAACAAACCCACCGATTGGAACAGGAGGTGGAAGTGGTGCTATAAACAGTGTCGGAGGAAGTTCAATTAGTGGAAATAGTAATAGTAGTTCCAACGCTGGAACTAATCATGAAAGGCGAAGCTCAAATTGGCCAAGCACTAATGTTAATGGACAGAGTTTAGATGGATCAAGGGTCAATAGGCAATGGCAATCAACTACTTCAACTCCAATAAACATAAATACAAATGATAAACCGATTGATAATAATAATAGGCAATCAGTAGCTCAATTTTTTCACAAGATTTCTGATCAGAACTTTTTTGCTCATCTTGTGAAGGCAAATGAAACTCCTACAAGAAGTTCGATCTCACGTAATTCAGCTCAATCAAGTCCATTACAAAGATCATCTGTTATCACTTTTACAGGTAAATCATCAGCTTCTTCATCTCCTTCTCTCTCAATTACTTCATCTCCAGAGCGATCAAGTCAAGATGTTTGTGCTTTAGACAGCAAAGGTGCTAATGATGTATCAATGAAAGTAAATTCGTTGACTATCAACAGTTATGATCCAGATTGTTTGCCAGTTTACCAGAATTTAGTCAAGAAGCAACAACCAAAACCATTGTGTTCACATGTAACATTATCTTCATCTTCATCAGCCTCATCATCAACAACTACCAAACCAATATCACCATTCTCAGTCAACACACCAGAAATAGAACCAATTAAAAAATCAACAGAATCACCACTTTTATCATCATCATCGTCGTCAATTCAAAATCAAATGAAAACACCTGAACCAAGTCTATGTAAACAAATGAAATACTGGGTAACTGAAGAGATTGATAAAAAAATTGATAACTTTGTAAAACCAACTAGACTAACCTTACCATCTACATCCACCTCATCATCATTATCATCTTCACAATCGGAATCATCTAAAGCAGTTAGTTTGAATGTTTTCCATCATATAATTGACTCTTATTTCACTCGAATCAACATGAGAAACGAAAAGCACATGGCAACATTAGCGCTGAACTCAATGGAAGAGACTCGACTAATAGAACTTACCTTGGCCTATGGAGTTTTTAACGAACCTTTGGCTTGCCCAATTACTACTGCAGAAAGTTTGATTGATGATTGTTACAATGTTTCGGTCGGTTATTTACTCTCCATGACCAAGAAGTTAACCGCATACGCTGAGCTTCCCGTCGAAGATCAAATGAAATTAATTCGAGGTACTTATGCCGATATAGTGGCGATGAGAGGCATCTTCTTATTTGATGTAGAAAATTTACTTTGGCCGGTAAGTAAACTAGTGAAGTTCAATTGATTATCTTGATTACGGGATAACAAAGAAACAAAAGTGATTAAAATCCTCAACCAGAAATCCCATGATAACAAATCACTGATAAGCTTTATCGAAATCATTTGACCTTTTTACCTTTTTGCTCTTTCTACATCTTTCGACTGCAATTATTAATACTTAACCATAGAAACTAGTGCAATTATGAACGCCGTCTATTACCTGTTAGAGATTATTCAAAGAGTGAAGGAGCTCATTAATCTTTGTGGTGAGACAATTTTACAATGGCAAATTATCTCTCATTAAATTATGTAATGAACATGAAAAACATGAACAATTGAGTTATATCTTATATTAACAGCAGATTTTGATAATTGAATAGCTAATATTAAAAATTAAGGTCATCAAATCTTTGTATTCGACTGCGAAAGTTCAAACTTCGATCAAACTTAGAGAGAACTTGTGAGAAAATTCATCATTATAATAATAATTTATTGAAAATTATAGATAAAAGGAACCAAAATGACAATTAAATACGAAGACATAGAGCGATTTGACAAATCGTTTTACGAGGATTATCTTGAGTTTGCGACAACTCTTGATCCAATTTGGAGAAACAATTTAATCATCAACCAACTCATTATTGTTATAATGCTGTTCAATAGTAACCTACCAAATCTCAAGTCACCGGAGGCAATAAGGTAATGATAGTCTATTTTATAGAAAAAGCCTTTAATTTTTTCGCTCATTATTTTCAATAGATTGGAGTACTGTGCTTACATATATTTACTTCAACGTTATTTGGAATCAAGTCTTAATTTTAGTGATCAACCAAAGGAAACTCTTTGCCATATTCTTGGTAAAATTAACCGAATGCAGTCAATCAATGGCAATTTAGTTCGACTATCAATCAAGGATCAACCTCTAGCTGATATTAAAATTGTCAGTTCATCTTCACTTCTTACTCCAGATTGAAAAATTAAAATGCTGATCAGATCAGATTAGCGCCATTTTCTATTGATTTAATTGTTAATCGGATAAATTATAGATAGATCATTTGTTTCATTCCAAATAATCTATTCAATATTTTATATAATTACGTTGAAATAAATAATGCTTAAATCGATAACAAATTAGACTGTTTATGAAATGGCAATTTAATTGTTCTTTTGTATTAATTAGATCCAATTAGTTGGATGTATGGTTGTTACTTTGGTGGTGAATTATTGGTTTTTAAATTGTTTCAATTCTATGTGAATTAATATCAGGAAAAAAAAGTTAAATATTATCAAAGTTGATTTAATAATCTATTGGTTTTTGTACTGTTTTGTGAAGTTGAAGTTATGAAAATTGTAACTTTTTCTTAATTCCATTTTGATCCTCACTTGGAAATTATTAGAACTTTTTTCCCTCCTAATGTCTCATGAGATAATCAATATGAAAGTGATGAGGATCATTAGACTGTGGTGAAAATGCCCTGAAGACATAATACCGAACAATCTGACTCATGTCAATTAATTTTTTGTTCACTTTGTAAATAAAAAGATCTTCGATTGATCTTATTGATATTCATTAATCGATGACAATAAGCAGATTCGATGAAAACTTCTAATTACTATAACCTGATGGATAAGGTTAACTTTTCAGCCACAAATACGAAACTAATTTGGTCTAATTACTGGTGATTGTGGAATATCCCCAAAAATCAAACTAATTACAAGTTGTTACTCTTTCAACTGCAACTACGATATTTCATTCAAGAAACAGACAAGATGAGAATCAATAAAAACAGGATAACAATTGAAAGTGAAAATCTGATCAATAATAATAGACTTTACTAATTGGCAACCAATCCAATCTCCCTGATTTATTGATTAACTAATTGTAAGTCCAATTCGTAGACATTTTCATCTTTTCCATCAATAGTAATAGATGGCTCTCTATGGAGTATCATCTTCATCATCTTCCTTTCATCATCCTCATCTTTTTTTGACATTAGAAAAAGAGAGATGAACAAATTGGATCCGAATCTTTATAAATTGAAATTTACTTTTCAAATAATCTAATCTCGACAATTCAATTGAAACAAAGTAAATTGCCTTTTGAAAAAGTGAGAATTAAATTAATGATTAATTATTAATCCAACAATTTGGATCCGGTTTGCGGAAAAGTGAATATCGATCGGAGTGGATCGGAAAGAAAAGATATTCTTTCAATTTTTCTCTTTCTTTTCTCTTTCTTTTATCCAAAGTTTAGATTCTAAGTACAAAGTATCCGATAAATGAGTTACTCTCAACCGATGTTTTCATTTTCATTTTCACTTGAGATCTTCAACCGATTAGTTAAACATGAATTCTAATTTTTGTTAACAATTAATCTAATCAATTTAATTTAATGTTCCACTTGTTCCCAGTGAGAATCATGTAATTTACTTAAAAGGGTTATAAATATATACAAATATTTATTTTTTTTCTTCTCTAATTAAAAGACACATTTAATAGAGAAAAAAATCTTTTCTTTTTTTTCTGTGATTTTGTTTCTTTATTTTCTATTCTATTCTATTCTTTTTTTTCTCTCTCTCTCACTTATTTTGTGCTTCTACGGTGATTTTATCTTATCTCACCTTTGCTTCCATTTAAAACACAAAATATACATCACAATTAGAGTCAACAATTAATTCTCTCACAATGGATATTGATCATCATCAACAATCTTCATCTTTCTCGCCCATTGTATATATTGCAACTTTTGGTGCCAATGTAGTTGCTGTTAAGATCCTCTTTTCACTTTTATCTGGTAAGTTTTCTTTCTCATTTAAACATCTAATTTGTTACCTTCCTTTTGTCAATTTATTGATTTTCAATGTTAGTCAGACGTAATCGAAAAAACCTCTAATCCTCTTCAATATCTAATCTCTTGTTTATCCTTTTCTGATGATGTTTCTCATTTTCATATGTATAAACATCATCATCATTCTCGCAACACATGCACAAAATCAGACATCTTTTTGGGTTTCTATCTCCCGATAATCTTATCACCAGAACAACAATTTATATTAATAGAATAGAACAAAAAAAACAGACTGGTAATCCATTTACCAAGATTTGCTTTTTCTACCAAATATAATAAACTAATCTTTCTCCTCTTCTTCTCTCTTGAATACTCGCCATCTTTAGGTTATCCACTGGCCATTATTTATAATTGTTTAATCGTCAATCGAAGTGAAGTGATAAAAAAATTGTTCTTCTCAGGAACTGGTCTGGCCTTGGGACTTTTCAATTATGGTCAGTTTACTATCCACTAGCTATCAAAGCTTTTATATTCCACCAGAGATTCAGATTTTCTGGTTTCTTTTTGATAGAGAGAAAGAAAACTGGAAATACATCCATCTTTTTTTCTTAGACCATCATCATCATCATCTTTCATCCTCTGTCATCAACATCACTTCTTTTCAAATGGGATGATAGAGAGAAAATCATAACATTTTTCTCAGTAAACACAACAAACATTAATCTAAAAAAAGATGGATCCATTTGATTATTAACCTTGATCAATATTGATAATAACCTTACACCATTTGAGAAAATTATCCCAAATGTTAAATCGATTCACCTAACACTGCAAATATTTTCTTTTCTCTATTTTATCATTTATTTTTCTTCTTTTTCTCTTTTGATTTTCTCCTCATCATCATCTCTCTCTCTCTCTCTCTCTCTTCCTTTGTAGGCTATGATTTTTTCCATACAACTATCACAATCTTCACCATGTATTTTGTTCTTAAATGGTTTGGTGGGACTAAATTTTCTGTAACATTTGCGTTTCTTTTTAATTTGGTATGTTACCTATTCCATATGATACCCGAAAGCAAAGCTCACACTTATTGCAATTTGATACTTTTATATTTTCACCTTGATTATTGATTCCCCCTGATGGTTAATTGTCCTACTATTTCCTGTTAAAACAGAATGTAACAATTTCTATTATTGATTAGTTGTTAATATTGACTGAACAAGACGATCATTAATATCTGGCAACTTTTAAATTGTAAAAGCAAATGATTAGCATTCAATACATTTTGTCTTCTCCCTTTTGTTTTCCCATTTCTTACAGATCATTTCTTGTTAATCACAATCAAGACTCTCTTAACAATAGACTAATTTCATTGTGTTACCTTTTTTTTCTGACAGAAAAAAGAACAGGTAACTAAGAATAGAATTTATAAATTGTTAGTTACCAATCAGGGAACAACTTACATGTAAACATTGTCAAGAGTTAATTGTTGAAGTTATGCTCACGCAGGTTAAATTCTGGTTTAGATCAGCAATTAACAAAAACCAATTATCGATCATTTTCTGTACTTCAACTAATCAAATCTATCTAAGGTTAACCTTGTTAATTACTAATATGTAATGATAACTATTCATGATTACGACTCATTGATTTTTCATCTCCCTTGTTATTTACATGAACATTTTTTTTTGTTACAATTAATTGACTAATTTTTGATTAACTAATTTCAATTTATCTTATTCTTGTTTCCTTTTCTCTAGGGTTATTTATTAGCTGGTTATTTTATTACACAAATCAAATCAAATGAATATAGTTTCGAATGGACTATTCCACAGTGTGTTTTAACCCTCCGGCTAATTGCGATCGCTTTTGACCTTTACGATGGTAAACGAATCGCGGCTAAAGTTATAGTCGATGGCGAACCAATTAAAAATGAAACACCGATAACTGAGGCTCCTGAAATTCTTGAACTTTTCGCATGTTGTTATCTTCCCTTTTCGTTTATGGTTGGACCACAATTTGAGTATAAAAAATTCCAGCAATTTCTCAAAGAGAAAGATAATGTTCTACCTGCATGGTAATTGTTTAATAACGATGATCAGTTAATCTGTTAATTGTTATTCCAAAATTATTCTAATTCTTTTCCTTCCCAGTGCATCACAAGCGAGTATTAAACTTGGACTTGGACTTTTATATTTAATTTGCTTTCTTGCTGGAGAGAAATATTTCCCTCCATCACTTTTGCTATCAGATTATTATAAAGTAAGTAAATCATCATTATAACTGGTTCTGCTCAATTGTGTTAATTGTGATCATTTAATCAGATTTTAAAGAGGGAAACTTAATAATCAACAAACAATTTGACCTTTTCCATCTTCTCTATTATTCAAAGGCCTTTAAGGTTTACACCCTTGTCTTCAATCACTCATCGTTGATATGAAATTATTATTAACCTCCAATCTAAACTGTTGAACTATTATTATTGTTGTGACCACACCTAAATCAAGTGAGAGAGAAAGAAGAATAGATTGTTTTTTTATTCTAAATTCTAACTTTGGTTCCTTTTTTATCTTGATGGAGTTTTCTTGCTTCTTAATTCCTATACAAACTCCTGGAATCATGGATAGTTCATGAAAAGAAATTCATTTTATCAACTCAATGATAATTTATATTAATACTTTTCTTTTTTCTTTTTTCATTCAGACCTCAGGATTTTTCATGAGCTTCACTTTAATTACTTTAACTACGAAGATACAAACATGCAAATATATTGGAATTTGGCTTCTCGCTGTAAGTCAATCATGATTACTATTGATTTTCCCTGATAATCAAACATTAATCATTTTTTTTCATTTGTCTTTTAGGAGGGAAGTCTAATAATGTCTGGATTCACTTTCGTCAAGTCAAATTCAACATTCAGAAGCTATTGTAATGCAGATCCGTATCTTTTTGAAACCTCTCCAAATTTTACTGGACTAATCAAAGCCTTTAATATAACTACTAACCAATGGTCAGGAAAATATGTTTTCAAGAGATTGAAATTCTTAGGGAATCGGATTATCAGTCATGCTGCAACTCTCATGTTCTTGGCTGTTTGGCATGGATGGAAATCTGGTTATTATGTTACCTTTGGAATGGAGTTTCTGATCATGAAAATGGAGTGGGAGGTAAGATGATTAAACAAGAAAATGAACTAATCGGATGATTACAATTAGCCAATCAATTTTACCAAATAGACATTGATCAATAATCATTGGTAGTTTAATTAACCGTGAAAAAGTTTCAACCATTAACAATTGATCGGTGACATTGCTTTCTAAAGCTATTATTTTTCTCTACTTTTGATTTACAATTAATTTTGATTGTTCATCAATAAAATTTTCTTTGTCGTTGTATAATGATTGGTTAGATTCATCAATAATCCGTTTATTGTTGATTCTATTTAACTTAATAGCCTTTTTATTGTGACTGTTCCAAACAATTTCACTCACATTAATTCATTTATCATGCAAACTATCGTGTTAATATTACATATTTTCAATAAGATTGATCAGAAATCAACCAAACAATGGCTTCTCATGTAATCCAATTCTATAAAATGATTAGCGTCTTAATCAATTTCTCCCTGTTTCTATGTATTAACCTTTTTTTTGTTTCTCTATCTTTTAGGTGATGGCAATAATTAAGAATTTACGACAATCAAATAAGTCTCTGGACAATTTGCTAAATCAAAGTTACATTCGTTTACCAATATTAATCTTTCTTCATATTTACACCGTTTACATGTTCGGATATTGTCTCGCTTCATTTACTCTGTTAACATACAAGCGATGGGTTCCCGTTCTGAAGCACGTCTATTTTTCAGGTCACTTATTTTACATATCATGGATACTTATTTCACCCTGGGTCCATAAAATGGTTCTTCCTGAACGCCGTTCATCAAGCCGATCGTCGATTTCATCTTCATCTTCATCATCATTATCATCAACATCTACAACTTCGCTACCATCTTCATTGTCCCAATCAAAACCATCAGAAATTACTAATAATTTGCCAACCCAACAATTGTTATCTGATGAATCGAAAACAAATCTGATTAACCAGATATGTATAATTTATTATAATTATTACAACAATAATTATATTACATTATTGATCTCTCTCTCCTCTCTCCTCTCTCATCCTCTTCATACATATATACAATGTAAAACCGGAGATAATTAATCATCTTCTAAAACTAATTGGGTTGAAATCTTTGTCTATTATATCATCATTCAAATTAATTGTTTCCAATCCAATATCAAACTGTAAATTAATTGAACAACAATTTTGGTGATGATAATGATGAAACATTTTGTGATCCTGGGGATGATTATATTACAATGACAAATTTCATTTGACAACTTAATTGGAACCATCTACAAATTCATTATATCGACAATTAAGGATCAAATTTAATTGAATTACTCTTTCTGTCTTCTATCAATAATAATGATACAAATTCCTCTTCCCTAATGCACTTTACACTAAATTGTTTCAATATTCACAATTTAAATCAAAACAACAACAACAAAACTAATAGATGAGAAAACGAAACAAGAAATGACACCAAATGTTAATTGCTTAAGAATAAATTAAAATATTTAACTAAACCTTTTCTTTCTTTATTACCTATACATGTAGCTGTTAAGAGAATGGCCCAAATATTAATTGTAAAAATTAGAAAAAAACTCTAATCACAATTAATTCTAATTTCAAACACTTAACTTAATCTCCACTCAAGTGATCGGTTTAAACAAAACACTTTCTCTCTTCTGAGGTCATAGAAAACGACCATTAGATCAAGGTGACCAGTTAAACGAAACAATTATCTCTCTCCTCATCGAATTGTTGAAACTCGTAAACTCTAATTACAATTAGGAAACTAATTGTTTCGAAAATAATTAAATTCAAAATTTCGAATATCAGATTAGTTTAGTTTCTATCCGATAGATGGCGACAAAATTTGGAATTTTTTGTAACTGATTCATTCGCACAATAACAAAGCCTTCAATTAATTTACACTTTTCTAGTTTAATTAATATTTTCTTGTGTGGAATCTTTAATTTAATTAAGATTGTATTGTTTAATTAGTGATCTTCTGATTGTAAACTTGACATTATCTATGGTTTGATTAATCTGTGGAAGAAAAGAAGAGTCAATGTTTTACTGGATGGTTTCTCCTTTCAGTGTTTCCTTTCAGCTTTTTTTTTTGTTTACTTGTAATAGAATAGCTCTGATATTAATTTGTTAATCATAATTACATTTATCAATAATTATTTATATCAGTGAACTGCATCTTTACTTGAAGACTTTTCTTCTCATTTTTCTTTTTATCTTTTTAGCTCGTCTGTCTGTGTATCTGTGTACCTGCATCATTTAACTCTTTCAATCACAATGGTTGATGATCGTTGGGGCAGTAGTAATGATCTTGTTATAAAAGAAGAGACTTTACCAACATCTTCTTTAATTGCTGCCAGTTCAACTTCAACATCTTTAACCAACAATAACAGTAATGGAACTAAACAATTACCCGTACCACAGAATAGAATTCCTAAAATTGTAAAATCTGCTATTGAAACATCTTCCATTCCAAAGGAGCAAGATATTCAAGATAGAGAAAAGCTGAGAAGTCAACTAACCTCTTTACAAGCTTTATTGGAGAAAACATCAAAAAAAGGTGGTGATATATTGAGAAGTTACAAAGGACGCGATTTGAATCAGCATCCCTCTTATGCAGAGAATTTGAAACTTCAACAAGATGTTGAAAAAAGAATCGAAGAAGTTAAAGGAAAACTATTCGAAATCTCCAAAAGAATCGGTAGTGCTAATAAAGAGGTGAAGAATACTGAAGATGCAGAGACGAATCAAGAGCCTGTTGATGTTGCCATAAAATCTTTCGCCGGTGTCCCAATTTACGAGGACGATGATATTAGTGATAAAAACTTCATCGACCCTGGAATGCATTGGTGTAAACAATGTGATATATTCATCAGTGATCTTCCTGCATACCTCAAGCATCTTACAACTGAAAAACATTGGAAAGTTAGTGAAAGTAAAGAAGAACCTTGGAGGAGAACCGATAATAGACCAAAAATAGAAGTTGATCCAGCAAAGAAAAGAGATACTGATATTCTAGGTAGATTAATAATTCTCTCATTTTAATCACTCGAAAACCTGATACCTAAATTTCACCCGAACATTGTTTCTAATCTATACCATTTACTTTCTATTCTATAACAATCATATAAAACTTTTAGGTGTCCATACTTTGATCGCAATTCGTGGTTACTTTTGTCAAGTATGTGGTATACTTCTTGGGAGCCCATCACATGCCGAAGATCATCTTAAAACAAATACGCATTATCGATGCTACAATGTAAGTATAAGTAAAAGATCAGCTGATCAATTATTCAAAATGTCTTTTTGTTTATATTCTATTTACTCTTACTAATCTTCTTATCTTTTTTTATTTGTTTCTTTCCTTTCCTTTTTCAGAGGCAAAAATTGATGAATAGTCGACATGAGTATAACTATTCTATTGATAAATCAAGAGCTTTAACTAAATTCCAAAGTCAAGAAAGAAAACGCCAAAAAGAACAGGAGGAAAAAGAAGAAAGAGAAAAGGAAGCAAAAAGACGAGCCACAGAATTAGAGATGAAGAAAAGGATTCTTAAGGAGAAGCTCGATGAAGAGAATAGATTGAAAAAGAGCAGAGAATTACAGGATAAGACACAAGATAGAAACTTCAAAGAACTTTCAAGAAATCAAGATCGTGATCGAGATCGAGATCGAGATCGAGACCGTGATCGTGATCGTGATCGTGAACGACACAAAGAAAAGGATAAAGAGAGAGACCGAGAAAGAGATCGTGATAAAGACAGAGATAAAGAGAGAATAAGTAAAAGTTTCAGTTCCAAGTTCAGCAATAGTCATAGTAAAGATAAAGATCATCGAGATCGAGATCGAGATAGAAACAGAGAAAAGGAAAGAGAACTCAAACACAAATTGAAGCATTCGAATGATGTTAAATCTGAAAGCAAAAGTAAAAATTCAACGATAATTGAAAAGATTGAAGACGAAAATGTTTTCGGACCACATTGGCCATTCCAAGATCAAAAGTTATCAATGAAAACTTTAGTTTTTATTCCCAAGAAAGAGTGGCAATTGTGTTACAAGAAACATATTAAATTAATGATGAAGGGTAAAATTCCTACTCTCTCAAATTCAACAATGAAAAAACAAAAAGAATCGCAAGAATCAACCAATCCAGATTCCACATCAGATGCCAAAAAAGTTACAAATTCACTTTCTCTACAAATTGAACCGGAAGAGCCTGATAATGTAGATTCCAGTATCGGTGATCTGGTCCTTGCAATTACCAGTGATCGAGGGGGTGGAATGTCCGATTCTGATTTAGATAATCATGATAACCAGAGAAATGATTTCAATTCAATGTTCACAGTGGAATATGATGACGATGAAGAGAAATCATGTAAAATTAAATCATCTGATTTCGTTGTAACCCAAGACATTGATTTTACCAAAATGGCCTCTTCAATTGCCATGGAAGAAGGATCATCATCTTTAAATGGAAATCCACCTCTCTCTTGTGATACTGGTCATCGATTTGAATTAGAAGACGATGAACAAATGGAAGTTGAAAATGGTCATGATGTTTTCTTTTCCGATGCAAGGAAACCATCACCAGTACAAGAAATGGACGAAGATGAGCCATTTAAGTTGAACGATAAAAAATTAAACGGAGCTTCTACTTTGGATCCTGACTCTCTTACCTCTCCAACCGATGATCAAATGCTTTCACCTCCTATTTGGGTACAACCTTTATCTTTACACGATTTAGCTGAGTAATTAGTTGATCATTCTCTCCCGTTTATTACATTTTTAGGCCTTCGTGCCTTGCATTTTCTAATTGTGTGTAACATACACACCGATCAGTTTGTAAAATTAATCTCTATTCTCATCTTCAATCACCATGCAAAGAAAAGTCAACTCACTCATTTTCACCTGAAAAACAAAACCGATTTACAAAAATAACATTGTCATTGAACATAATCAATCTCTACAGTGGTTCCAAACGTTAAATACCTCAAACTCATCTAAATGGTCACTGTATCTTAATTGTCTCTCTATTTCCTCCATATTTCACTTATTCCTCCTTAATTTTGATCATAGATTATCTATAACGTTATCTAATTATCACAACAATAACATTAAGTAAATAAAATTATCATTTCATTTCACAATTTTACCCAAGATTTTGAAGTTACATTATTATTTTCATTGGTCACAAAAAATATATCCAATTGATTTTCCTTTTTCTTTTAAGTCAATTCGTCTCGAGAACAATTTATCTCATGGTATTGGCCCTCAATGAAGGATAAAATTTCCTCTTCTCTTCCAATCGATGTAATTCTGATAATGATGCGGCCACAGCGAGACGAAGTTGATTGAATTTGGTTAAACTACAATCAAATCGTAATCGTTGATCTGAATCTGTGAGAATCTCAAAAATAATCAAAGGTTCCAATACTTTAGACAGAGAGCAACTTGAGATAACCACATCGATCCGCCATTTAATTGACCGACAAGAGGGTAATTTGGGTCCATAAGGCACAATACTTGTCATACTGTTGACAGATTCGATCTGGTTTTGTATTAATTGTCCAAAATCTTTCGAAAGTCTAATTTACATTGAAAAACGAAAACATGAAATCAACAGAATAAAAAATGACATCGACTTTACCTGAGCTCATCCGAGAGAATGTCAATTAAATTAGCTGAGCGATTTGAGGTTCGATATCTAAGGCAATGTCGCAATAAGATGATTAAGTTTTGAATCAACAATTTAGATTCGTGATCAGTAAGATTAAGTTCATTTACGATTGAAAGTTGATTCGCTTCCAAAGGTAATCCTTTTGAAAGGTAATCAAGAACAGCTGATGAGAAAACAAAACAAAAGAAAAATGAGAAAATCAAAGGAATCAAGTTAATTGAAATCTCTAACCATTCAAAGGAAATGATTCATATTCATGGGATTATGATGGTGAGAGAGACAATTTGATACGAACAATCAATTGCAATTAGTTGGAGGGTGTGTTGATATTAAGAGAAAAAGAAAAACAGAATTAGATTTGATTACCTTTAGTCAATTGATGGAACGATTGTTGAGATAATTTCTGAGCTGATTTAAGGGAATTTCGAACACTTTTGATTGTTTCTCGGTTCCGAATTAAAGGTGTACTGATTTGGGACATTTTAAGAAAATAAAACTTAATTGTTGAGTAATTAGAGAGAAATCAATCAATTTGTTTGAGACAAACAATGTAAACAATTTCACTTTATTTACTATTGAATTTCAATAGTATTGAATGAGCGATACTCATGCGCTCTTTTCATTTATATAAAATATTTCAATTCTCTTTGGGAAGAAAATGTTTTAGCTCAATTAAACAACAATTAAGGTGAGAATAAATTGTATCCAAATGTAGAAGAAAAAAGCGAATACATGTAATTTGTTTGATTTCGGGGAATTGGAGTGAATGTTTTTGTGAATGTAAAATCTGATTTGTCTTGTCGATTTAATTTCATTCGGGATTGAGTTCGAACCATTTCCGGTTCGATTTCCAGTCTTGATCTTGGCGTTGATGGGGTGGATAAGGTTGTTGTTGAATTTGATGATATTGTCGGTGATAAAGTTGTCTTGGTTGTGGTTGGAGGCGAAGGTGGTAAAGTTGAAGACTGTCTAAATGGTTCCGGTGCCGATAAATTAATTATCTCGTATTCCATTGATTTAAACATTGTTCAATTTTTGATTGTTACTTTGGGATGAGATGAATTTTGAATAGCAGCAGAAGAAATCAATTCCATGGATAGAAAAATAAATACCAAACAATTAACTAGATACATGATGATGATTAAAAAAACGATGTACACAAAATTCACATTTGTACTGGAAAAAAATTCACCATTGAACTTATCCTTTTATATGAATGTCATGATAGTTTTTTTCTCGATCTCAAAGTGAGTCATTTAATCCTTAATCGGTTCAACTGATTTTTTCTATCATTTAATTGTGATAGTTCACCCTCAAAGTTTTCTCTTCCGGAAAAGTTGAATCCTTTAACTTTGAAACTTTTCCACAGTATCGAGTGAAATACAACGACATGGACATCCACTGACTGGACATTCTGATTGCTCCATAAACCAGTCCATCATGTGTTTAGCGTGACCTCCGTGTCGACAAGTTTGACACCAAGAGAACCAACTGTTGTGTGGTTTTATTTTTTTCTTTCCCGTTTCATTGGACGAACTGGAGTAATCAGTTCGAGATGAGAATCGAGTCGGTGTTCCATATTGAGTTAAACAGATACAACAACGAGGTAGAGGTTTACGACAATTGGGACAACTCTGGATTCGAGCTTTCAAAACAGAAGCGTTGACCTTACTTAGTGCGTGCAAATGGTCAACACTGTTTTTCAATTGATTACCTGATCCACTGATACTATTGAGAGGTAAACTGTGGATGGTGGAAACACTTTTACCACAGTAATTACAGTTGACAAACATTTGAGGTCCAGGAACTTGATCGTAGTTTAGCCTTTTAAACCATTCGTTATCGAAAAGAGCTCGTTTATGCCATAATCTCCAACAATCGAGTATATTTCGATAATTTTCTACCCATAGTTGTACTCGAGGATCTTTATAATGATGACTAGGAAGTGAGTGAAGTATCACAAAGGAAACAGTTTGTACATCACTTGTTGCTTCAACGTAACGATTAAGTAAATCTAATCCTTCGTTGGTAATACCGGTCATCAAGAGTCCATCGATGTGACCATTTTCAACCAACATGGCGGAATAGGTATCGAGATGATATTGTAATTGAGAATCGGGTAAAAAGGTGACTGCAAAAGCGACTCTATCAGAGAGTTCAAGGGAATGGTCGTAAAGGATTTCCTCATATGTTTCAGTTTCGGAGGTAAGGAACGAGAAAATGGCCTTTAAATAGGGTAAGTTGAGTTCACAGCGAAAAGCGGAACACATTTCTCTCCATAAAGAATTTTTTTCTCCCGTGTAACCCGAAAGAGCCATGGCAACAGTGGATAAATTTGGATCACCTCCATTCTCAACCTGAGCCGCCGAACCTGCGATTAAACATTCAATTGCTTTTCTCATTTTCAGATTAAACACTGAAATTGCAGCAGCTCGAGTAAATTGTGATTTAGCTTTAAGATTGTCAATTAAAGAATCCAATTTATCGCCCCAACCACAAAGGTTCAATGAGTGACTACGCTCATCGCTTTTGTAAACGGGAATCTTGGCGTTAGAAGGCAAATCAGCCCATTGAGCATAGTTGAGATCACTTTTTTTTAAAATGGTACTTGAATTGTCACTAATGATTGATCCAAAAAGCAATTGACGGACACCAATCAGCTTGTCATTCTTGTCGATTGATGGAATCTTAGTAGACATTTCCTTAGCCGATTCAATCCAAGTCCAAAGTGATCGTAGCTTTGGATCATCAGGAACATATGACTCGTTAAGACCATAATCTTGAGAAGCTCTTTCTCTCATTTTGACGGCAACATCTTCAATCGCTTTATAAAAATCATCTCGATAATCAATACATTGTAACAATTCTCGACCATTTGTCCAAATAATCTCAGAAGCGGGCGACCAATTGAGTGTCACTCGACCAAAACCTTTAGCATCAGAAGAAGAAGTAGATGTATCCATAGTATCCAATAAATTCAACTTGCAAACTGAATCAATAAACAATTAACTAGAAAAAAAAATACAATTAAAATGATAAGAGAAACAACAAGTTAAACTGATTCAGTTTATCAATTTCTTTAAGTGCAAAAGAAAACACAAAATCAAAACAAACATTAACCTTCAATCTTTTCCACCAGAGGGAAGTAAACGTGCAAAAGAACAGAAGCCAAAAAGTTTGACCCGGACGTGATTTGAACACGCAACCTTCTGATCTGGAGTCAGACGCGCTACCGTTGCGCCACCGAGTCCGATGAATATTCACTCAACAAGTACCCTGAAAAAGCTGAAACCTTTTCATAAATCGATGTTACATTTTATCTTTGACAATTTTACTGTCAATCTTTTACTTTTAAAATAAAAGATGATAACGGAAAGACAATGAATCTAATGATGTCGTTCTGTTGCTTGTTGTGCAAGTGCTCTGGTTGACCATTTGAACAAATACCACCCGGAGCTAATTTTCGAGAAGCCGAGAAAAAGAAATCCGAGAATATCACTTAGAGGCTTAATTACAGGGTGTGTAGAAAGTAACGCACAGGGGTGGAGTTTACCCTGCGTAAATAATTAGCGGTTGATTTGGTTTACTAAATCAAAACATAAGCAAACCAATTTTATTCAATTGCGCAAGGGGAAAAACTCATCCCTCTGTGCGTTACTTTCTACACACCCTGTATAAGAGAAGCTTTCGACAAACAAGTGATGATAATTAAAGTTAAACACTTACTTAGTCTTACCCATTCGCACGAAAACTAGAAACAAAATCTCGGAGACAAATGGTAAGAGTAAAATTTGCCTTGAGAGACACTAATTGAAGATATTTTCGTAATAAACTCTTGCAACGAATATCAAACATTATATGGACAGTAATCAAGAATCAAAGAAAATGTAAGGCCAAAGACCGAGTGCGTTGAGACAATGTCATCAACTGTTTTACAAGCAGCAAGAGTAACTGGATTACGAGGTAACTTAATTTCCGGGTAGAGAGAAGAGAGAACAATTAAACCAAATGACCAAATATCGGATCGTTTACATGGTTTACTCTTTAAATTGATTGCTCGTTCTGGAGGAACATAACTAAGATTCCTTGGTAATAAAGCAGAACAATCAAGATATCGACCGAATTCAGTGATTACATTTAAAGGCCAGTGAATCCATTTATAGTTGATATCATTGAAGACAATAGCCTCGAATGTTATATTACCATGGACAATATTCAAATGTAACACAATCAAAGCGCGAATTATACAAAAAAAGAGACTGGCGGATAGATGATGAGAAAATGAATTACAAATTTAATTATTGAAAAGAATATAAAATCAAATAATTGAGACAATTTAAGAGAAAAAGGAAGAGAGTAAACCTCGTCGGACTCGGCTTTTAATTGGAAGATAATTAGGACTGACGAGTTCGAACAGGTAAAGGAATCGTTGACTTTCGGAAGAAAGGACGGACTTTCGGACTTTCGGAGGTTTTTGGAAGAGGTGATTCGGTGTCCGATTTAATCTCATTCTTTGATCTGGTTGATATTAGTGGATAAATTATTGTTGGATCCAATTCATTTAATCTTCTCTTTAAATCCATTGGTAAAACTTCATCATACCTTATTTGCCATTGATTCATTTCTATGAGTTTACCAGAAGAGTATTATCATCGGATTTGGTTCCTCAATGGTCAGTTCAGGTTTATATTTCTAAAGTAAATCGATAAAAGCACTTGGTCTTGGTCTTCCATTTTGATCTCACGGGTAACACAATCGACACATGGATGATCACATTTCAAGAAATTATCTTTCGCTGTTTTAATCAGTTTCTTGTAATTTCTCTTCTTAGCTTTCAGCCACTCAATCATGTCTTGTCGGTATTCTGGACATGAAGCACTTATCATCTTTTTAATTCTCAATATATCTCTCTTACGCATCTCAAGTTCTCTATTCCACCAGGGATTACTTTTCAACTTTTTCCGTGTTTCCGTTGGTTTATTTTCAATCAATTTTTCCTCTTTCACCTCGACTTCTCCCATCTTGATCTCACAGTTGATATAATGAACACAGTTAGATGTAAATAAGTAAAAGAACAAGGAGAGTTAATAGTTGATATCTACAGTCGTTTGCAGAGAAAAACGAAAAGGACGATAGATCAAATTAATTAACGTACACTAAAACAATAGTCAAACACTAAATGGATTCCATTTAGTGGATAATGAAACTTTCCCTTGGAGATGTGGTCAATATATTGAAGCGCCAATGATTCAGCCGAAGGCAGAAAAACTAATGCCCTCTATTGCCAATAGAGAACGAGAGTTTCGACTTGAAATTATAATTACTTAAAACAGAAAAAAGTTAATTTCTATTGTTTAATCGAACCTCATGATATCAGTTCAATCGAAATCATTCTCACGAATTATAATTGGAAGAGGTGATTCGGTGTCCGATTTAATCTCATCCTTTGATCTGGTTGATATTAGTGGATAAATTATTGTTGGATCCAATTCATTTAATCGTCTCTTTAAATTATCCATTGGTAATACTTCAATATAATGAGGGACAAATGAGACAATACTTGATGTTGATGATGCTATTGATGAGGAAGATGATGATTGTGTGTTACTTGTGTTTGTTGTTGTTGTTGTTGTTGTTGATTAACTGTTGGTCTTAAATTTACCTTTGGATTTAAACACTGGCTGATTACTTGTTGATATTTTGACCATTTAGCTGGTAAAGTTTCAGTTACATTGAGCCTTTTTAAAACCTCATCAACTGTTTTACAAGAGGCAAGAGTAACTGGATTACGAGGTAACTTAATTTCCGGGTAGAAATAAGAGAGATTGGTGAATAATTAGTTAAATAAAATTTGAAAATTAGTGAATTTACAATACCCTTTTTCTTCGATAACAGTTAACATATTGTGATGACTTTTTGAATCTACAATTGCATAGAAATTACCATTGAAGTACACGGTTTGTTTTACCAAAGGATAATTAAAAGAGGCGATTAAATAATTTGGATCATTTATCTATTAATATCAACCTGATCAAAAATGCGATTGAATCGGATAACGAATTACCTTTTCCAATAATAATAATTGACTCCTCATAGAAATAAAAACGATCGCTTTCTTTGACCATCGAATTTTGATTGAATGTTTTATGAGTGAAAAGAATATACTCGAGGCAGTTAAGATTATGTTCGATATGTACAACTTTACAACTTAGATCAGATCAACGCGATTGAAAATAAACTAAAATTCAGTGTCTGAAAGTCTGAAAGAAGATTAAATGTATTTATTATCCATGTTGAAAAAATTGAGAAAATTTCATTAGAATTTGTTTATTTTCAAGCTTTTCAACGACCTTTCAAAAAGATTGTCCCACAAAGCTTATTATTATCTTTAGAACGAATTGGCAATTTGACTCTTCACTCGCACAATTACCCCCCGGAGCTAATTTTCGAGAAGCCGAGAAAAGCAATGCGAGATTATCACTTAACGGCTTAAATCTAAGAGAATTTTCGACAAACAAGTGATGATAATTAACTTTTAAAAAAACTAATTGAAAAGAACCAATAGGAACGCGGAGATTATGAACAAATTAAGATTCTTCAAAAGTTGTTGCAAATTCTATTGGGCCTTCAGGTTTTCGACAAGTGAACTTAAAATTTTTCTTTTTCATAGTTTTGTGTCTTTTGAGCCTCACTAGTGATTTTTTGATCTAATTGTAGTTTAACTTCTGCTTTTTGTTGATTAGTATTCGAAATCTTGTTATCGTTAAAGAGATTTTTAGTGTATCTTCTAAGTTATTATTACTTACCTTTTCCTGTGTCATCGAAAGTACAACATGAAGTGTTCGACAATGAATCTGACTATGATGAGACTGTGACATAACCTAACAGGTTGACCAAGCAAATAAGGAGATGAGAAATGAGAAAATGTGAAATCATTCTCACGAATTATTGGAAGAGGTGATTCGGTGTTCGGTCTAATCTCATTCTTTGATCTGGTTGATATTAGTGGATAAACTATTGTTGGATCCAATTCATTCAATCGTCTCTTTAAATTATCCATTGGTAATACTTCAATATAATGAGGGACAAATGAGACAATACTTGATGAGGAAGATGATGATTGTGTGGTACTTGTGATTGTTGTTGATGATGAGGAGGATGTTAATGAATTGTTGGAATAATTTGTTATTGAACCAGAACTTTCTAGGATAACCAATGATGGTAAACATAATATGGATGATGCGCTGAGAAAAAGGATGTTATGAAAAAAGACCATTGAAAATAATTATCCTGATACAATTTGTTTGTGCAATAAAAATTTTTTTTTGCTATCAACTTATCAATACGAAAAGTTAAATAACAATTAGTAAATCAATCTAAATCAACTGATTGAATTGGATTGTCTTCCATCAGATCTTTATTAACTTTCCGACCAATTAATTGATAAAATTTATTAGCAGCAATTCCCGGAGGCTCGGAGACTTTAATATCCAACATGGATTCGTTAATTGTTCGAGTGGTGGCAATTGATTTACCTAATTTAATGTAATGAAAACTTCAAAATTCGTTCCATCCCCATGGTTACGATTTGAATTGGTTAGAAGAAGCTAAATTATTAAAAAAACGGGGTCGTGGCCCAATGGATAAGGCGCCTGACTACGGATCAGGAGATTCCAGGTTCGAATCCTGGCGACCTCGGAATTTTTTTGCACTTTAATTTCATTAATTGAATCTTCGATTATCAATTAACTTTACTAGATTATTGATTATTTTATTTGATTAATTATTTTCTTTCTTTTTCGACAATTATTTTTTCTCACTGATCAAGTTTCGTTATCTATCCAGAAACAAATTGTTCGATTTTCTTAATGCTCATACATTCTGATCAAACTGATTTTCATGATCAATTTTTTGCAGATTATTACGATTAATTGTTGTTTGTTTGAGTTAATCAAATTAAATTTCAACTTTTCAATTCGATAATTTAACTTAGTAGTGAAAATAAACTGGTCTATTTATCTGGCAACTTTATTTTTCTCTCCCATGTTTATGTTTTTGTTTTTGTCTCTCATTTTCTGATTGTCATA